CATTATATAGGCTACACTGACGTGACGTTTAGGCAGTTCGTTTAACTAGACACGGCATGGCCAGGTGGTTAGGGCGCTCGACTCGCAATCTACGGGTCGCAGGTTCGAATCCCCGTCACATCAAACATGCTCGCCCTTTCAGCCGTGGGGGCGTTATAATGTAACGGTCAATCCCACTATTCGTTGGTAAAAGAGTAGCCCAAGAGTTGGCGTGGGTGGGGATGACTAGCTGCCTTCACTTTAGTCTTACACTGTTAAATTAGGGACGGTTAGCGCAGATAGCCCTCGTGTAACTTTACGCGAAATTCAAAACAAACAAACAAATCGTTTAACTATTATACGTGATGTACGTTTTTTGGGATGGTGGTAAATGAAAGTTTTCCAAAACGCGACATTAATTTCTTGACGACCTAATACCATGCCTAACATCTAATCACGCGATTAAAACTGTACTTCACACGACGATGGCATAATAGCTCAAATTATGATATGGAATTATGAATAAGTGTCACATGATAAGGACAAATGAATATTGGAATTTTTTAATTATTTTCTTTAATTAAGGATTTAATATTAAAATGTAATTTATCAACTATATTTTATGCTAAATTTGTTGTTATGCAATAATATTAAAGCAGTTTGATTAAATTTTAATATAATCATTTTCGCTGCTCTCGGTCACTGTTCACAGTGGTTTGTTTAGCACAACTTGAACCAGAATCGCACTGACACGCTTTTGTGCCTTAGTGAGTGTTTTTGTTGGTACACCTCTTTGGCAAGAAACATGAGTCAAGAAAAAACGATTAATTTTTAGGCATTAATATTATCGCAATAGGTGGATAAAAACTTTAAAAATAGTGTTTTCATAAGAGATCTACATTCTAATTATATTAACAGACACGCTGGTCATGATATTAAACAATTTGTTTCTTTTGAATTTTGCGCAAAGCTACACGAGGGCTATCTGCTACTCTTTTAAAAACGAATAGTTGGATTGACCGTCACATTATAACACCCCACGGCTGAAAGGGCGAGCATATTTGATGTGACGGGGATTCGAACACGTGACACTCAGATTGCGAGTCAAACAAACTGACCATGCCGGGCCTGATATTTAACGGATGATTGCGCCAAACTAAGACTGTTTTATTTATCAAAGTGGAGTTCCAAATATATTGTTTTCTTTAATGTTTAAATTTTTTGTGTCACAATTTTCCAGAATTACAAAGTAGTGTTTCTAAGATTTCAAAACAGATTTTTTGGTGTTTGCCATTTGTTTATTATTTTTTAAAAGTTTGACTTTTAGGATAATATAACAGCAAACTTTAAATTTCAAGTAAGAGTAAAGTTTCTCTATATTCCTGGTTCAAAGCTAAGAAAAGTACTTGGATAAAAACAGAAACCAAACAAGAAGTCTCAACATGTGAATATAGCGTAGATTTTGATCTTAAAACTTTCTGAGTTCCTAAATAAACGTTCGAAATAATTTAAAAGTTCACATTCTCATGTGTTTCACCATAATCAAAACACTTAATGTAAAATAAATGCTAAAAGTTGTGTAAAAAATTAAAGAAAATAAAATACATTATGCAACTTAAATTTCAAAAGTTCTGAAACTAAAGTAATATTCAGAATTTTATGTGTTTTTTGCTCTCCTGTGGCACAGCGGTATGTCTTCGGACTTACAATGCTATAATCCGTGGTGGGCAGAGCACAGATAGCCCATTGTGTAGCTTTGTGCTTAAGTACAACAAACAAATAAATGTGTTTCTTTCTGGTGATCTAACTTATTCTCCATAATGACCTTAATTGCAACTAGTTTGTGGGGTGGGCCGGTAATTTTGAAAGCCAATATTTTGTTTTTTCTAGTTGAAGTTAATTGCATGACTTTTTATCTCAGTATTTGTTTTCTAATCTATGATATAATGATGTCCATCTAAAGTTAAATATGTTGTATTTTAACGTATGTTTATTTTATTTCTGTTTAGCACCTTTTAGATAAAGATATTGAATGAAATTGTAGCTAATAATATCATGCTATTATAATACATTATTTCCTTGTGCTCAGGATTTGTTGCAACAGCATCTATGATTGGTAAATACTTCAAGAAAATATATTAACTTCTTAAGTATTACACATAAAAGTGACAACGTTAGGAATAGTTCTGGTACTTTTTTTTTCATTTCATTCTTTATTTTACGTAATTAGAAGCACATGGAAATTCTAAATCCTCGATCTGAACACGTCTTTATGATCTGAATGAATTAATATTTTGCGTCGGCAAGGGTTCTTATACAACTCTTCCAAAGTTATCAATTTTAGGATGTCCTTACACTACCTACGAACACCAAACAATGTCAATGTTTACTTTTGATATCTGCCACTCCACTGTGACTTTATATTAACTGATACTGTCACGTGACTTTCCGGTTTGCTTGTTGAAAATCTTTTTAATATAAGGAACTCGACCTCTGTATATCCACTGTGATGTTTCTCGTTTTTCTTCGCCCCTTTTTAAATTTTATTTTTTGTATAAACAGTTGGTTTGGTAATGCATCACTAAATCAATACGAAATACAGTATACATGTATGATCTCTAAAATATTTTGTAACAAAAAATGTAGCGGCCATATAAACATTGCAATGTTTTATCAAATGAAGAAAAAAACCTTATATTATTAAGCCCAGAACTTTATAATATAGTTTTATCTATCGTGTGTATCATTCGTATCTCCCAAGAGCTTAGCAGTAAGCTGAAGAGCTTATAATGCTAAAATGTGGGGCTCGATCCCTGTGGTGGGCTTAGCAAAGAGAGCCCATTATGCAGCTTTGTTCTTAACAGTTAAAAACTGATAACTTTA